TGGTGCTGAGGACTCGGACGGTGGAGCTGCTGCTGGAGCTGAGGACCCGAGCGGTGGCGCTGCTGCTGCTGCTGAGGACCCGGGCGTTGGAGCTGCTACTGGTGCTGAGGACCCGGCCGGTGGAGCTGCTGCTGGTGCTGTGGACCCGGCCGCTGGAGTCTCCTCTGCTTCTGGAGACGCTGCGCGGCCGCGACCGTACTTCGTACCGCTCCTTCAGCAGGTTCTTGGGCAGGCTCCTCCTCCTTGTCCTCCTCCCTCCGTAGAGTGTCCTCTGCCTGTCCCGGCGCAGTCACAGTTACCGCCTCCCTCGCCTCTCCCTGCTCCCTCTCCTTACACTGGTCCCACGGGAGGTCTTACAGAGCGTCGTGAGCCTGAGTCTCGTCCTGCGTCGCCTGTTCGTCGTGCTCGCACTGGTAGTCGTGTCCGTCGTGAGCGTCCTCCTCCTGTCCCAGGCACTCACTTCATGACTCTGCGTCCCTCTACTGCTCCTCAGCGTGTCCCTCTACCGTCTCCTCCTGCGTCCTCTTTGCCTGCCGTTCCGGACCCTGAGTCTGACCGGTATCGCGCTGAGCACCCTACTGTCACGCGTCTCCTCGCTACTGTTGTCACTGACCCTACCTTTGAGTCCTCGGCTGCGTCTGCTCTGGTCGCTGAGTTGGTTGACTTTGCTGCTGCCTGTCGTCTAGACTACGCTGCTAGCCTTGTTGCTGAGTCTGCGTCTGCGTCTGTCTGTCCTCCGTCCGTCGGGGGTGAGTGTGCTCTTGGCACGGACGTCCTTGAGGACAGGCAGGAGGACTTTGACTCTCTTGCAGCTGCTGTACCTCATCTCGTGGCCTGGTTGCTTGCCCCTGAGGGAGACCCGGATGCACTAGACATCCCCACTCCGCGCACTTACGCAGAGGCGATCTCGGGTCCCTACTCCTCTCAGTGGCAGACAGCCATGGACGCAGAGATGGCATCCTGGAAGTCCACAGGCACCTACGTCGACGAGGTTCCCCCTCCTGGGGCGAACATCGTCGATGGCATGTGGATTTTCAGGGTGAAGCGGCCGCCAGGTTCTCCCCCTGTCTTCAAGGCTCGTTACGTTGCTAGAGGCTTCAGTCAGCGTCAGGGAGTTGACTTTTTCCAGACCTTCTCCCCCACCCCGAAGATGACCACTCTTCGGGTTCTGCTGCACGTTGCCGCTCAGCGTGACTACGAGCTTCACTCTCTTGACTTCAGCACAGCGTTCCTGCAGGGCAGCCTGCACGAGGAGATCTGGCTGCGCCGCCCACCTGGCTTTACTGGGTCGTTTCCTCCTGGTACCCAGTGGAGCCTCCGACGGCCAGTTTACGGTCTCCGCCAGGCGCCACGTGAGTGGCACGACACACTGAGGACTACACTTGCGGCTCTTGGGTTCGCGCCGTCTACTGCTGACCCGTCGCTGTTTCTGCGCACAGACACGTCGCTGCCGCCGTTCTACATTCTCGTGTACGTCGACGACTTGATCTTTGCTACTGCTGACACTGAGGCACTCGCTCGTGTGAAGTCGGAGCTGCAGAAGAGACACACCTGCACTGACCTGGGTGAACTGCGTAGCTACCTTGGCTTGCAGATCACCCGGGACAGAGCTCGCCGCACCATCACACTGACTCAGTCACACATGGTGCAGCAGGTCCTTCAGCGCTTCGGCTTCCAGTTCTCCTCACCACAGGCCACACCTCTGGCTACCAGCCACTCACTCTCAGCTCCACCTTCGGACGAGTCCGTAGAGCCGAGTGGCCCGTACCCAGAGCTTGTAGGCTGCCTCATGTACCTGATGACTTGCACGCGACCTGACCTCGCGTACCCTCTTAGCATCCTTGCTCGTTACGTTGCGCCTGGGAGACACAGGCGAGAGCACTGGGAGGCTGCTAAGAGGGTGCTGCGTTACTTGTGCAGTACATCAGGCATGGGGCTGGTGCTTGGAGGACGCGACAGAGTTGTCCTCACTGGTCACTCGGACGCTTCTTGGGTGGACGACCTGGCTACGCAGCGGTCGTCACAGGGTTACACCTTCAGCCTTGGCTCTGGTTCTGTCTCGTGGCGGTCCACCCGCTCTTCCTCTGTTCTCGGCTCTAGTTGTGAGGCTGAGATCTACGCCACAGCCATGGCTGCACAGGAGTTACGCTGGCTCACCTACCTGCTGACTGACTTGGGAGAGCGGCCTAGTTCTCCTCCAGTTCTGTACGGTGACAACAAGGCGGCTCTTGCCTTGTGTCAGGAGCACAGACTGGAGCACAGGACGAAGCACATTGCTCTTCGCTACTTTCTTGCTCGAGAGCTTCAGCAGCGCGGTCAGCTTCGGCTTGTGTACGTGGACTCGAAGGCCAACACTGCTGATATCTTCACCAAGGCGCTCCCGCCTAGTGATCATCAGCGGCACTGTACTTCTTTAGGCCTTGTGTCCACGTTTCCTCACTTGCTCACTGCTTGACATTCTTTGTACTGTACTTTATATATATCTTGTTGCTTGTCTTGTACTATATCTAGCACTGCATGTGAACTGGCCTTGTGGCCTTTGCTTGTGCTCGGAGTGTGGTGACGTTGTGATCCACCCTGGGCTTTGCTTTGCTTTGCTGGACTGGTCTTGTGACCCTTTGTTCTCCCCCACTTTGCCTATGGGGGTGTGTTAAACTATATTATGCTTGTAGGCTGTAGTGGGGTAGCCAATATGGGGTACAACCCCAACTAGGGTTTGCTACTTGTACCCAATTCTTCCATTCAATGCATCATTCTTGCCTAGTTCTCTTAACAGCCCTTGCTCCAGGCTGGTGAGTCGCTGAAGCAGTTGTGCGAGAACTTCGGAGCCGATTGTCGTCGTGTTCTCGCTTGTCGCAGCCGGGTTGGGTTGCGCTTCAGCCGTCAGATTGGTCTGACCACCAGATCCTCCGGCCATCTTCACTCGTGAGCGTGTGCCGGACGCCACTTTCCGAATGTCGCAATTTTCGGGAGTGGCAGTGCGAAGGATTCCCGAGCCGCTCTCATACCATGCTGCGATCAGAAGTTGATCGTGGCCTAGGATCTACTCAGGAAGGTTCGCACGCAGTAAGGTAGTGTTGGTGGGCCCTTGACCTCAATAGCAGAGTGAATGTAAAATGCTTTGAGATGATAAAAACATGCAAATACATCGATATAAATAAGAGTACAGGGAATACGAAACGACCTAACTAGCCATGTACTCTAAGGGGTACATTCCCTTATTCAAATTCATCCCCAACCGTGCGGCACGTACAGTTTCGTAACTGTTCCCGCCAAAACCATCCTGCCTGTAGCTGCCCGATGCCGTCTGCTTCTGCGGTCCAGATGTGCTGTAACCGTCTGACTCTTCGGTTCAATTCCAACTGTCTGACGCTTCGCGTTCATTCCCGATACTGCGTGCTTCTCTTTGCTGCGGTGAGGAGTGCACAGTAATATCAAATATTACTATTCGTAACAAATATGATAGGACGAACATTATTGCTGTAGGTTTTCCATAAGACCTCTCCACATCTATCCCATGTTACTTACAACTTCCTCCACCTCTGCTTCGTTCCAAGGGTCTGGCCCCACATACCATCCCTTATCAACATACTATCACCTCCAATCTGAAGTTAAGAACTGCATGCTCTAATTCAATCAAATTTAGAGTGCCTTTGACCCACATTATTCTTTTCTTTATTTTTTTTTCTCTATTAGTTTTACAATTCACAACTTTTTCTTCAGCCTCTGTGTGTCCTCAATGCAATTACCTTTTGCTTTTGTTTTTGTTTGTTTGTTTGTTTGTTTTTTTTTTTTTGCAAAGCCAGATGGAATACAGATCATTGCTATGCATATTTTCTGTACTCAGATATTTCCTACATAGATTTTGCAGGAATGGGGAGGTGTGTTGAGAATGCATATTTGTACAAATTTCCTTTGCATATGGCGTACCAGATTTCAGGAACCCGCTACAACGAGCACAGTGGTCTTGTCCGCGGTATGGGTTACCGCGGTTGAGGTTCGTTTGAAAGTGGTTCGGGTACTGTTGCGACGCGTGTGTGACTCGCGAAATCATTCTGGTTGGGATGCCATACTTGTAAGGGCGTGTTACATTTTCGATTTTGTTGGACTGTTCGGACATTCACCACTCTGAAACGGATTGAAACTCACTTGAACCAATTATTCGACAAAAAACCACTGTAAACCGTTCTGACGGTCCGGTCCAGTCCGGAAAAAATCGGAAATGTAACACGGCCTAATGAAATAGAAAATGAAAAAGAACGCGCTGGATGGACAGCGAGTAAGCAGGCAGAGGAGGTTGTGCTGTTTCTTGATCCACAGTTGCTTGCTCCTGTTTGTCTGTGCACAGAAATAGCCGAGGCCGACTTCACAACGAAAGCCCTCCGTTTTGCCGTAGCGTCGTTACTTCTCGTTCGCTCGCTTTCATTACGCATGTCGGCGACTTCACGTTAATTGCCACTTGAATTGCGACGTTACAATTATGGGGCCGGGGCGAGGGAAGAAATCGCACGGTGGGGGGCCCAAAGGGCGGTTGGCATTTTCCGCTAGCGCGGCGGCAAAAGGTGGCGACCGGACACGTGGCTTCGAGGGATTGGTCGACTACTTACCAGAGTCTTTAGGACTGTCAAAGAACGGGGGAAAAGGCAGAGGAAGGGATGCGCGCAGGGGAGGCGACGCGCTTCGGTCCCGTGGGGGTTCAGTAGGCAAAAGAATAGAGGGCGGAACGATGCGCGGGGGAGGGAGGGGACGAGGGAAAGATAGAGGGAGAGGGAGGGGGAGCGCGGGTGGAGACGAGAGGGGCAGGGAGAGGAAGTTTCAGGGAAAAATCGCGGGGCCCCTAAGTGCAAGCGGAGCGGATAATTTCGGTACTGGGAGGAGCATGGGTGGGGAGAGAAGCGGAAAGGGTTTGAAAAGGGATGGAGGGTTTGAGAAGGGAAAGGGTTTTGGAGGGGTTCAGGGGAGAAGGTTGGATAATTCGGGTTTTGGTAGATTTGCAAAGAATGAAGGAGGAGGAGGAGGAGGGGGAGGAGGAGGAGGAGGAGGAGGAGGACGAGGAGGAGGAGGAGGAGGAGGAGGAGGAGGAGGAGGAGGAGGAGGAGGAGGAGGAGGAGGAGGGGGAAGAGGGGGAGGTGGAGAGTGGAAGTGAGGAGGAGGAAGAGGATTCGGAGGAGAGGAGTGACGCAGAGGATGAACTGGTGAGCTGAACTCGAGCCCCCTCTCCCCTCTCCCCTCTCTCCACTCTCCTATCTCCCATCTCCCCTCACCCCTCTTCGCTCTTGTTTTTTTCTATCAAGTTCGCCTGCAGCAGCAGTTAGAGGACGAGCCCTTCGAGGAGGTCCAGCGCATGAGAAGCCGCAGGCGGGCCACAATGTTCTCCACGCCCCTCACTTCCCTTACCTCCCGCTCCCGTTCCCACTACTCCCCCATCAGGCGCGCCTGCAGCAGCAGCTAGCAGACGTGCCCTTTGAGGAGATTCAGCGCATGAGAAGCCGCGGGTGGGCTGCTGCTCATCTGAGAGGGACTGCCGGGGAGCCTGGTGGCGTAGGGGGGAGTAGAACCCAGGGCACCATTGGGGCTGATGCAGATGGTGATTCTGACCCTAGTGACGGTGACGAGGATGGGGATGGTGGTGAAGCTGGGAGGAGAAAAGGAAGGGATAGAGGGAAGGGAGCGAGAGGAGGAGCAGCAGGAGGGGAGGAGGCAGGGGGCAGTGGGGCAGCAGCGGGGGTGGTGGGGCTGAAGCGCATGAAGGTGCTGGCAGAGGCAGTGCGGCGGCGGGCGAACAAGAACCGGCCCATGGAGCTGCCTGCTAAGAAGCCGGTGCCACGGTTGAGACAAGTGGTGGACGCCCCTAGGAAGGTGAGATACCATAGCGCCAGCACAGCACAACACATAGCTGCAGGGTTGCAAAATCCGACCGATGCGGCGATGCTTGTGCCACGACTCAGACAAGTGGTGGCCGCCACTAAGGAGGCGCGATCAGGTGGCCCTTGAGTTGAGGCGAGGCAAAACAAAAGAAGGTGCGTAGCATCAGCGCAGGGTAGGTAAACAAAAGGAACCAACCGTTGGAGTGTACAAGCAATGGGCGCTTCTAGGAAGGTGAAATCTATAGCTGCAATAATGCTGGTGTGCGTGTGTTTCTTCTGCAAGGTCCCAATGTCTCCCCATTTGCCCCAGTTCCCCCCCATCTCCCCCATCTCTCTCCATCTCCCCCATCTCTCTCCATCTCCCCCATCTCCCCCTATCTCCCCCATTTCCCCCCATCTTCCCCATTTTCCCCCATCTCCCCCATCTCCCCCCATCTCCCCCATTTCCCCCCTATCTCCTGCATTTCTCCACATCTCCCGCCCCTTGTTCAAAATCCGCGCTTTGAGTCACTCTGTGGGACTTTTGAAGCAACTAAAAATTCGCTCTAAAAGTTGAAGCGCGTCAAAAGTCTGCCCTCCTTCTCCAATCCCCCCCTACACACCCGCAGGTTGTTCGGGACCCGCGCTTTGAGTCGCTCTGTGGGGAGTAATAGGGAGTACGACCAGGGCAAGTGGGCAGTGGGGGGGGCTGGGGGTGGCGCTCTGCTAGTCCCATTTCCCACGTCTCCTCCCCCATCCGCCCTTACACCCGCAGGTTGTTCGAGACCCACGCTTTGAATCACTCTGTGGGGAGTACGACGAGGGCAGGTGGGCACTGAGGGGGAGGAATAGATGGACAGGGGGCAGGGGAGGATTGTTGGTGAAAACGGATGGATAGCCACGCTTCGAGAGAGGAATGGGAGGGACAGTGGGGAGGGTGGATTGAGGGAAAAACGGATGGGGACCCGCGCTTTGAGTCGCTCTGTGCTGTGGGGAGTACGACGAGGGCAGGTGGGCAGTGGGGGGGGACGGCCAGGAGGAGTGGGGGGCGGGGAACGGGGGAAAGATAACCTTTAGTAAGAAAGGGATGGGCGATGAGGAAGGGGGGACCCTTACACCTGCAGGGAGAGAGGGAGATGGGGAGCTAGGGAGGATAGCAAGATATGTCGTGCACCTGTCTTGCAGTTCCGGACCTTCCTCATGTTACCTTTTGATACAACTCAAAGATAGTCACACTGCTGCCTTAATCAGCAGCATTGCCCTGGCGAGTTCTCTTTTTCTCGCTCTGTCCTTCACTGTTTTGAGGCAACAGCTGTTTTTAGGCACTGTTTCTGTTCTTTCTTCTTTGGTTGCCAGGTTCAAGTCTGCATACAAGTTTCTCTATGCAGAAACACTTCCCAAGGAGAAAGAGGTAAGCTAGGGCTACATTTATGTACCAACAAGTGGAGTGGAGTGGAGTGGAGTGGAGTGGAGTGGAGTGGAGTGGAGTGGAGTGGAGTGGAGTGAACAGCCTGTTAAGGCAATTTTGCTGTTGTGTTGTGTCTGTGAGATTCTGTGCCTTGTCAAAGTGCTCTCTTCTTCCCCTCCTCTTCGCCCCTCCTCAATCCCCTCCCTTGTTGCAACAACCGCAGCATCGTCCTAGCTTGAACCCTTCTCCAAATCTCCTCCACAATGCTTCTCAATTTTCTCACCATGCCTCCTTGCCTGTACTCTCCTCTCCTCGTCCACATTCATTCCTCCTTGCCTCCAACCCCTCCTTGCTGTTACACCGTTACCAGGAGCTGCAGCGGCAGCTGAAGACCAAGGATGAGGAGGAGAGGAAGAAGATCAAGCGAGGTCTCACTATGCTCCCCAACCTTCTCACCTTGCCCCCTTGCCCCCACTCACCCCTCCTTGCTGTTACACCGTAACCAGGAGCTGCAGCGGCAGCTGAAGACCAAGGATGAGGAGGAGAGGAAGAAGATCAAGCGAGGTCTCACTATGCTCCCCAACCTTCTCACCTTGCCCCCTTGCCCCCACTCACCCCTCCTTGCTGTTACACCTACCAGGAGCTGCAGAGGCAGCTGAAGAGGGCCAGGGATGAGGAGGAGAGGAAGAAGATCAAGCGGCGGCTTGCACAGATCGTAAGTTGCCATGCTCGGTCGGCAACGCATGCCATTGCAACATGGTGCAAATCAATCTTGCTAATCAACAGAGCTCCAATCAACAAAACCCATAGGCTCGCTCTAGCAATGTTGCTCGGCCATTGCACCCCATGTAGCCAAAACCATTTTCCTTGGTTATTTCTCGGTTTCCGGTCCATTTTTCAGTGTCTCTGGTTTCTCTTCCTTCAAGTGTGTAAGATCTGCTCGAGTGCCTTTCAGTCTGTCTCTTTTGCTAGTTTCTGGTCCCTGAGAGTCCCTGATGAGAGTACACATACCCATCTGGGCTGTACTCAACTTTTCTTGCACCCATCTGGTTACGCATCAGGCACCCATTTTGCTCACTCTATATACCTTTTTGGGTTGCTGATATTCCTCCGTGACACATCCTCTGTCTCTGCCTGACCGTCAAGCACGCCTGTCGTGTCGTTCACCATCTATGCCGTTCACACCCCTCATGGCCTCTCTCCTACCTTCACATCACACCCCTCATGCCCTTCCACTGTCCCTCACACACCTCATGCTCTCTCTGCCCCTCACACCCCCCGTGCCCTCTCTCTGCCCCTCACACCCCTCACGACCTCTCTCTGCCCCTCACACCCATCTTGCCCTCTCTCTACCCCTCCCACCCCTCACGCCCTCGATAGCTGATGGTTTGTTCCGCAGGAGCAATCGCTGAAGAGTGAGAGCCAGAGGCAGAAGGACAAGGAAGACAAATACTCCTGACGCCTTCTCCCTCTGCCCCTCCCACCCCTCATGCCCGCCCTCTGCCCCTCCCACTGCTCACGCCCTCAATCTTTGGTGTGTTGTTCCGCAGGAGCAATCGCTGAAGAGTGAGAGCCATAGGCAGAAGAAGGTGGGGAGGGAGATGGAGCTGAAGCGGCAGGAGAGGGAGGCTGTGAAGGCGGGCAAGAAACCCTTCTACCACACCAAATGTACGTGCTGGTGTGGTGGTGTGATGGTGTGCTGGTGTGCGAAAGAGATGACTTTTGAGTCAACTTAAAAGTCATTGTAGAGGCAGGAGAGGGAGGCTGTGAAGTCGGGAAAGAAACCATTCTACCACACCAAGTGTATGTGCTTGTGTGCTTGTGTGTGAGAGAGCGACTTTGAGTCGAAGAAATTACCTACTAGACCAAGTGTATCCTATTGTGTACAAGAGAGAGAAGCCGGGAGGGCATGGCACCTTGTGGTTGCTCGTGCTCTTTGTGTTTGTATAGGACATGCATCGCTGTCTGACCGATTTTGTGAAGTTGTCACTGAAAAGAGGAATGTGAGTTGACTCGCTTTCCACTTGACTCTGAATAACACCCTCGCCACTCACCAGCTCACACCCCCTTCCTCCACTGCTAGTCATCACACCTCCCTTCCCCTGCTCCACCCCAACCACTATGGACCCTGCCCATAATGACACGCCCTGCTCTACCCCCAACCCCAATACCCCTCTTGTCATTGCTTGCCCCACACCTCTCTGGGTGTGCTGTTACATGTGGCAATGCGTGCGGTGTGGTGTAATGCGGTGTTGTGCGGTCATGTGCTGTGTGGCCATGTGCTTTGGTGTTCCTCTGCAGCGTCACGCCGGCGTGAGGAGCTGTATGAGAAATACCAGGAGCTTAAGGTAAGCCAATTAGGCATGCGACAATTCCATGTAACACGCTTTGTCAGCCACTCAAAGCATGAGGTTAGAGCTGTTCTAAATCTTATGAATTAACGTCTATTCTGAAACTGCATTTCTTATATTTTCAGTAAATTCGTCTCGAAGCTCATCTTGCAGTTGTCACTGGCACGGTTTCTCCGTAACCGATTCGTTGTTTTCTCAACCTCCCTCGTCCCTCTGATTGCCTTTTCCGGTGTTTGTTTTGCAGGCGGGAGGCAAGCTCGAGTCGTTTATGGCGAAGAAGAGGAAGAGAAATGCAGCGAGGGAGCACACCAAGGTGCCGTTCCGCCGAGAGCACTAGCGGGCTGAGTGTACTGTACTGGTACAGTAGGTACCGTGGATGAATAAATAAGGAATACTGTGGTTAGTGAAGTGTAAAGTGGACGATTGAATTTGACCTGCGGCGAACGGCATTCATGTCATGTCACATACTCGAAAATCCAAAAGCGCCAGATAATTTGATAGCAAGAGTTGGAGAGATTGGAATGGCTGAGGAAATGCAGATTCTTCCGAAGTTTAGTGTCGCTGAATGTAGGCTGGAAGATATCTAACGCGTTTTCAGAGGCCCTATAGGATGCAGGTACAAGAGATAGTCGCAGACGAACAAGCCATGCGATAAAATGGTTTTACGGTATAGATTTTATTCTTCCCCGGCAATGTGTTATTGACCACATAGAATTACACTTACCACCGTGGCTCCATATGATGGAAAGCAGTACCGAATATGTGCTGCTGATGCTAGAATTACACAACCCAAGAAGACTTAGACAATATTGTTTGTATTTAAAATTTTAGTGGGACCTGTTTTGTGTTGAAATATATCAAAATCCAGTCTCATAAGCGACAAACGTGCCTATTGCGAGGAGGATATTTCCCCAGTAACAGTCGCCACTAAAACACGAGCTATGTAAGAGGTTTCGAGCCCCCAATATGCATCCGCCACCGATCTGTAACCCTGCTTCTTGTCTCTGCAACGTACAGAACCAGCTCCGACCTCGCTAAACGTTTGTCAGTGCGCGATCAACGCGATATTACGATACGAGCCGTAGCGCCTAGTGAAACCAGATCCGGCGAGACAACCATAGCCAGCCATTTCGTGCCAGTCGCCACATAATACCCCACGTTCGCGTCCCGACACACGCCCACTTTCTCCTACCAAACGGCCAATCACAGAGTTCCCTCGTATTCCAATGTTAACCTAAGTCCCTATCGCGCTATTTTCGGCGGCTTGACGTTTTCCAATGGAGGCGAACGGCAGGGAAAATAAGGGAGGGGAGAGAACAGCGCGCGAGGAGGGCGAGGAGGAACAGGATAGAAGAGTCGAGGCGGAAGGAAACGATACGGGGGAGGTAGAGCATGCGAAAGGGTCGGACGCGGCGAGTGAAGAGGAGGACGGGGATGGTGGAGGAGGAAGCGATGGAGGGGAGGATTATGGGGACGGAAAAGAGGCGGACGGGGAGGAAGAGGAGTACGAAAATGCTGACGGAAAATCAGACGGCGACGGCGACGGCGAAGGCAAAGAAGACGAGGAGGACGATGACGAAGACGGAAACGAAGACGGAGAAGAGGAGGAAGACGAGGAAGAGGACGGAGAAGAGGAGGAGGACGGAGAGGAGGGAGAAGACGATGACGAGGAGTGCGACGATCAGTCGCCCGTGGAGGAGGTCGCACTGACCGTGGCGACGTTCGACGACCCGTCGCTGCCGTGCCTCACGTGGCGCGTGGTCGTCATTGGTAGCATCGTGTGCGCGCTGCTCGCCTTCATCAACCAATACTTCTGGTTCAGGTAAGGTCTGGTTTTGAGGTCTGGTTCTGTACTTCAGGTGCGGGTTGCTTCAGGTGCGGGTTGCTTCAGGTTCGGGTTGCTTCAGGTGTGGGTTGCTTCGGGTGCGGGCTGGTTCAGGTGCGGGCTGGTTCAGGTGCGGGCTGGTTCAGGTGCGGGCTGGTTCAGGTGCGGGCTGGTTCAGGTGCGGGCTGGTTCAGGTGCGGGCTGGTTCAGGTGCGGGCTGGTTCAGGTGCGGGCTGGTTCAGGTGCGGGTTGGTTCAGGTGCGGGCTGGTTCAGGTGCGGGCTCATTCAGGTGCGGGCTCATTCAGGTGCGGGCTGGTTCAGGTGCGGGCTGGTTCAGGTGCGGGCTGGTTCAGGTGCGGGCTGGTTCAGGTGCGGGCTGGTTCAGGTGCGGGCTGGTTCAGGTGCGCCCACCATCATGCAGTATTCCTGGTTCAGGTGGGCGCTTGGTTGAACGAACAGGGTTCATGTAGGCAGCACTTCTGTGGCATGGCGTGGGGTCTACATGGCACAATGTGCCGAGCTCATGTGCTTTGAACGCCACATGCATGGACGGCCCTGCCCCGCCGCAGTGCCCATGCATGGCATGGCGTTTACACAATGTGCCATGCCGCCGCCGCTGCTGCTGCTGGTGCTGCTGCTGCTGCTGCTGCTGCTGCTGCTGCTGCTGCTGCTGCTGCTGCTGCTGCTGCTACAGTGAACACCCCATGCAGGGCGGCCTGTGCACACCACCCTCCTCTAAGCACGCTTGCTTTCTTCCTGTCACTCCCCGCTGCGCCTTGGAGAATGGCTTTTGAGGCGCCTCAAAAGGGGGCTGCCGCTTGCACCTTGGTGAATGATGACTGTCTCCTGAATGCCCCTGCATGCTTGGTGGCTGTGCCATGCTTTCCATGTGAACGTGTGTGTGTGTGTGTGTGTGTGTGTGTGTGTGTGTGTGTGTGCGTACGCGCGCGCGTGCGTGTGTGCGTGCGTGCGTGTGTGCGTGCGTGCATGCGTGCGTGTACGTGCATGCGTGCGTGTGCGTGCATGCATGCGTGTGCATGCATGCGTGCGTGTGCGTGCATGTGTGAATGTGTGCCTGTGCTGTGCGTGTGCCTCTGTGTGCATGTGTGTATCACCTGTGCATGTTATGTGCATGTGGTGCACCACAGAACCCAGTCCATCATCATCAACCCCATTGCCGCCATCATCCTATCACTCTACATGGGTCGTCTCTTAGCGAGGATAGAGCGCCGCTTCAACCCCGATGGACTGCCCTTCAGCGTCAAGGTGACGTGACGTTTACATGTCAGAATCAACGGACTGGAATGATTGAACTAACAGAGAAATCAGTACAAATAGCAAACCCTAGAATTGTGTACCCCATATAGGCTAACCCACTGTAGCCTAACAAACCCAACATATATAATGTTTGACACACCCCCATAGGCAAAGTGGGGGAGACCTAGGGGTCACAAGACCAGTCAAGGCAAAGCAAGGCAACAACAAGCTCAGGGTGGATCTCGAGGATTCCACACAAATTCCGAGCACAAGCTAGTGGTCACAAGACCAGTTCACATGCAGGTTTATAACAGAGCAAGAGATACAGTGATCACAACCTAGCAAGAGTAAACATGCAGGTATAGATATATATAGTGATCACAGTACGAGCAAAGTCAAGAGGTAAGCAAGTGAGGTCCAGTAGGCACAAGGCCTAGTAGAGTGCAGAAGCGCTGATGGTCACGAGGCTGAAGCGCCTTGGTGAACACATCGGCAGTGTTGGCCTCAGTGGCCACGTAGCGAATACAAAGCTGACCGCGCTGCTGCAGCTCTCGAGCAAGGAAGTACCGCAGGGCGATGTGCTTCGTTCTGTGCTCCAGTCTGTGCTCCTCACACAAGGCAATGGCAGCCTTGTTGTCGACGTACAGTACTGGAGGAGAACGAGGCGGCTCTCCGAGGTCAGTCAGCAGGTAGGTCAGCCAGCGTAGCTCCTGGGCAGCCATGGCTGTAGCGTAGATCTCAGCCTCGCAACTGGAGCCGAGAACAGAAGAAGAGCGTGTAGAGCGCCAAGAAACTGAGCCAGAGCCAAGGCTGAAGGTGTAACCCTGAGACGACCGCTGAGTGGCCTGGTCGTCTGCCCAAGAAGCGTCTGAGTGCCCTGTGAGCACAACTCGGTCTCGCCCTCCAAGCACAAGCCCCATGCCCGACGTACTGCACAAGTAGCGCAACACCCTCTTAGCGGCATCCATGTGCTCCTTCCTGTGACGGCCAGGAGCGACATAGCGTGCAAGGATGCTAAGAGGGTATGCAAGGTCAGGTCGAGTGCAGGTCATCAGGTACATGAGGCAGCCCACAAGCTCTGGATACGGGCCACTCGGCTCTACGGACTCATCCGAAGGCAGAGATGAGAGCGAGTGACCGGTAGGCAGAGGAGTGGACTGAGGCGAGGAGTACGTGAAGCCAAAGCGCTGGAGAACCTGCTGCACCATGTGTGACTGAGTCAGGGTGATGGTGCGCCGTGCTCTGTCCCGGGTGATCCGCAAGCCAAGATAGCTGCGTAGCTCACCCAGGTCTGTGCACGTGTGTCTCCTCTGCAGCTCCGACTTCACGTAGGCGAGTCCTGCAGTGTCAGCAGTGGCAAAGACCAAGTCGTCGACGTACATGAGGATGTAGAACGGCGGCAGCGAAGTGTCGGTGCGCAGGAACAGCGACGGGTCAGCTGTAGAAGGCGCGAACCCAAGAGCCGCAAGTGTCGTCCTCAGTGTGTCGTGCCACTCACGCGGAGCCTGGCGGAGACCGTAGACCGGCCGCTGAAGCCTCCACTGGGTACCAGGAGGAAACGACCCAGTGAAGCCAGGTGGGCGGCGCAGCCAGATCTCCTCGTGCAGGCTGCCCTGCAAGAAAGCAGTGCTGAAGTCAAGTGAGTGAAGCTCGTAGTCGCGCTGAGCGGCTATGTGCAGCAGCACCCGAAGAGTAGTCATCTTCGGGGTGGGGGAGAAGGTCTGGAAGAAGTCAACTCCCTCTCGCTGACTGAAGCCTCGAGCCACGTAACGCGCCTTGAAGACAGGCAGAGAACCCGGCGGCCGCTTCACCCTGAAAATCCACATGCCACTGACGATGTTCGCCCCAGGAGGGGGAACCTCGTCGACGTAGGTGCGTGTGGACTTCCAGGAAGCCATCTCTGCGTCCATAGCTGTCTGCCACTGAGAGGAGTAGGGACCTGCCATCGCCTCTGCGTAAGAGCGCGGGGTCGGGATGTCTGGTGCATCCGGGTCTCCCTCAGGGGCAGCTAGCAAGGACACGAGACGGGGCAAAGCAGCAGCAAGACACTGGAACTCCTCCTGTCTGTCCTCAAGGACGTCCGTGCCAAGAGCACACTCACCCCCGACGGACGGAGGACAGACAGACTCAGACTCAGACTCAGCAACAAGGCTAGCAGCGTAGTCTAGACGACAGGCAGCAGCAAAGTCAACCAACTCAGCGACCAGAGCAGACGCAGCCGAGGACTCAAAGGTAGGGTCAGTGACAACAGTAGCGAGGAGACGCGTGACAGTAGGGTGCTCAGCACGATACCGGTCAGACTCAGGGTCCGGAACGTCAGGCAAAGAGGACGCAGGAGGTGACGGTAGAGGGACACGCTGAGGAGCAGTAGAGGGACGCAGAGTCATGTAGTGAGTGCCTGGGACAGGAGGAGGACGCTCACGACGGACACGACTACCAGTGCGAGCAGGACGAACAGGCGACGCAGGACGAGACTCAGGCTCACGACGCTCTGTAAGACCTCCTGTGGGACCAGTGTAAGGAGAGGGAGCAGGGAGAGGCGAGGTAGGCGGTAACTGTGACTGCGGCTGGACAGGCGGAGGACACTCTACGGAGGGAGGAGGACAAGGAGGAGGAGCCTGCCCAAGAACCTGCTGAAGGAGCGGTACGAAGTACGGTCGCGGCCGCGCAGCGTCTCCAGAAGCAGAGGAGACTCCAGCGGCCGGGTCCTCAGGACCAGTAGGAGCTCCAGCGTCCGGGTCCTCAGCACCAGTAGTAGCTCCAACGCCCGGGTCCTCAGCAGCAGCAGCAGCGCCACCGCTCGGGTCCTCAGCTCCAGCAGCAGCTCCAACGTCCGAGTCCTCAGCACCAGCAGCAGCTCCACCAGGCGGGTCCTCAGCACCAGTAGTAGCTCCAACGCCCGGGTCCTCAGCAGCAGCAGCAGAGCCACCGCTCGGGTCCTCAGCTCCAGCAGCAGCTCCAACGTCCGAGTCCTCAGCACCAGCAGCAGCTCCACCAGGCGGGTCCGCAGCACCAGCAGCAGCTCCAACGTCCGGGTCCTCAGCACCAGCAGCAGCGCCACCCCCAGGGTCCGCAGCACCAGGAGCACCACTCCGAAGACTGCAGCGCCGTGTGTACCACTCGCGGATCTGCTGAATGGGGGGGAGCTCCTGGGTAGGAGGGGAAGTACCGGGACGAGCTCCAGCAGCACCTCTCCGGAGGCGGCAGTACTCGAGGTACCTCTCCTGCAGCTGCTGGGAGGAGAGGGCTCCTCCAGGTGTAGCAAGCTCAGGCTCAGCACCCCCAGACTCAACACCCCCAGACTCAGCACCCCCAGGCTCAGCACCTCCAGGCTCCGCACCCCCAGACTCAGCACTCCCAGGCTCAGCACCCCCAGACGCAGCACCCCCAGGCTCAGCACCCCCAGACGCAGCACCCCCAGGCTCAGCACCCCTAGCAGGACGAGAGTCAACAGCCACCTCGACAGGCTCACCCGGGTCTACCTGGGACACACCTGAGGGAGCGGCACCCTGAGGGGGGAGGGGGTCTGGTACCTCAGCACCTGGAGCGAGGAAGAGAGGCGGGGGGGGGAGCGGGGCAGTGCGGTAGGGGAAGAGGCGGTAGTAGGGGACGGACTCGTCAAAAGTGACGTCCTGAGAGGCCAGGACACGCCGCGAGGTGGGGTGGTAGAACTGCCAACCAGGGGCGTCCGGGACAAAGCCAAGGAAGACGCAGGGGACAGCGCGACGGGAGAGCTTGTCCGCGGACGTGTCGCGGACAAAAGCTCGGGATCCCCAGACCCGAAAACGCGACGCATCGCCAGCCTCTCCCGTCCAGCGCAGTGTCGGAGAAGTCTCGGGCAAGGAGACACGGGGCCAGAGGTTGAGCTGATGCGCAGCGTATCGGACTGCAAACGGCCACAGAAAATGGGGGGCAGCCGCATGGCTCAAGGAGGTACGAGCGACCTCCATGACCAGACCAATGCGGCGCTCAGCAACCCCATTCTGCTGTGGAGAGTCCGGAAGCGTGTACGACTGCTCAATGCCCTCCTGCTGACAGAAGGCCTCCAATAGGCCAGAGGAGAACTCCCCACCTCTGTCAGAGTGCAGACGCAGGACAGGGAAGTCGGAGCGGAAACGCTCACGGAGCTGGAGACGAGATCTGCGGATCCAAGGGATCAAGACATCAGGGACGTCACCCTTGGCGCGCAAGGGGAAGACCGTGGTGTAGCGCGAGAAGTCGTCAACAACAATCAGGAAGTACCTCTCCTGACCCTGGCCACGGACGCGGGCTGGGCCCCACACGTCCATGTGAAGCGTCTGCAAGGGAGCAGTCATCGGGGGAAAGGAGGAGGAGTGAGGAGCGGCGCGCTGCCGTCCCTCGACACAGGGAATACAGGGAGGAGCAGGCGAGTCGGGAAGGGGAGGGAGCACCCTGGGAAGACCAGCAACAAGGTCCCGCTGGTGCATGGCCCGAAGGCGCTGCACAGACGGGTGACCAAGGCGGTGGTGCCAAAGGACAGTCTCATGTGCCAGAGAGCGACACGAGCAGGGGGCGGACAGCTGACCTGACGCAGACGCAGACGCAGCTACCTGAGGGGACACAGTGGTCAGTGTGTAAAGGTCCGACCCCGGCTCCCGAGTGAAGGTAGCCAGGTGGCGACCCGTCCGAGCACACGTGCAGTGTGTCACGCGCTCGTAGGCAGGGGTGAACTGGTGAACACCCCCGTCCTGGAGCGCACTACCTGCCACCAAGTTCGTAGAGAACGAGGGGAGGTAGAGACCTGACAGCGTGCCGGACGGGACCGCCGGACAAGGAAGGACAGTGGAGGAGGTCGCAATGACCGGACCCCCAGAGGGGTCAGCAAGAGAGACAGCAACTGGCCGAGCGAGGGGCTCAAGGACAGTGCGGTCACGAAAGAAGGAGCGAGAAGCACCTGAGTCCAGTGTGAAGGTGTGCAGTGCGGCAGTCGACTCAGTACCAGGGGGCACAGACGCACTAGCACCTAGGGCAGCAGCCTCACCATCACCTGGGGTAGCAGACACGTGAGCACCTGTAGCGACAGACGTACTAGCACCTAGAGCGGCAGCGTCACTCACAAGACACGGCAGCTGCACCTGTCCGCTACTAGAAGCTCCCGAACGACGCACGCCAGAGCGACTACCACGACGGCCACCCCGATAGCCCCAACTGGCGTACCACTCACGAGCCTGCTGGACCGTAGGAGGGCACGGCTGCTGCACCTGTCCACTACCAGAGGCTCCCGAACTACGCACGTCAGAGCGACTACCACGACTGCCACCCCGACAGCCCCAACTGGCGTACCACTCACGAGCCTGCTGGACCGTAGGAGGGCACGGCTGCTGCACCTGTCCACTACCAGAGGCTCCCGAACTACGCACGTCAGGGCGACTACCACGACTGCCACCCCGACAGCCCCAACTGGCGTACCACTCACGAGCCTGCTGGACCGTAGGAGGGCACGGCTGCTGCACCTGTCCACTACCAGAGGCTCCCGAACTACGCACGTCAGGGCGACTACCACGACTGCCACCCCGACAGCCCCAACTAGCGTACCACTCACGAGCCTGCTGGACCGTAGGAGGGCACGGCTGCTGCACCTGTCCACTACCAGAGGCTCCCGAACTACGCACGTCAGAGCGACTACCACGACTGCCACCCCGACAGCCCCAACTGGCGTACCACTCACGAGCCTGCTGGAGCTCCATCTGGCCACGTCAGGAGCAGCAGCAGTAGCGGCAGCTGTAACGGTAGCAGTGCTGGCAGGGCAAAGCTCACCAGTGGTCGGTGCGGCGGGCGCAAGACAGTGGCGACAGCGGGGCCGCTGCACCAGCGGGACGGGGCCAGGTCGCAGCAGGGAGCTCCGCGGCAGCTGCTGCAGGGTCGGCGGCGGCCGCTGCTGTAGGCTCGGCGGCGGCAGCTGCTGCAGGTCGAGTGGCGGCTGCTGCTGCAGGGTCAGCGGCGGCAGCTGCTGCAGATCGGCGGCGGCTGCTGCTACAGGCTCGGCGGCGGCAGCTGCTGCAGGTCGGCGGCGGCTGCTGCTGCAGGTTCGGCGGCGGCAGCTGCTGCAGACGAGGTAGAAGCCGCGAAGGGGCGGCGGAGGGATCGCGACGGCGGCTGGGAGGGCCGCGACGGGCGGGTAAGGGGCCACGACGGGCCGTAGGGAGGCGACGACGCCACGGGGAGGGCGACGCGGCGGGCGGCGAGAGCCTGCAGCGGCGGGCAGCTCGCGGGCAGTGCGCGGGCAGCGGATTAGGGTTAGGTAACGCCTCCGCGGGCAGGCGACGGTGTCGCGGGCAGGGGTCGACGTCGCGGGGCGGATTAGGGTTAGGCGACGCCGCGGGCAGGCGACGACTCCGCGGGCAAGCAACGGCGCCGCGGGTAGAGGTCGACGCCGCGGGCAGGCGGCTTCGACGCGGGCAGGCGACGACGCCGCGGGCAGGCGGCGACGCCGCGGGCAGGCGACGACGTCGCAGGGAGGCGCGACGCCGCGGGGAGGCGACGACGCCGCTGGCAGGTGACGACGTCGCGGGGAGGGCGACGCGACGGGCGGCGAGAGTCTGCAGGGGCGGCTCTCGGGCCTGACGGGTCTGCAGCGGCGGCTCGGGGGCCTGACGGGCCTGTAGCGGCGGCTCGGGGGGCTGACGGGCCTGCAGCGGCGGCTCGAGGGCGCACGAGGGCGCACGAAGGCGCACAAGGAGAAAAAAGGCGCACGAGGGCGCACGAGGGCGCACGAGGGCGCACGGGGGGCGCACGAGGGCGCACGGGGGCGCACGAGGGCGCACAATAGTAGGTAGGTAGGTAGGTAGGGTAACGGTGGGCCCTAAAGCGGTCCTAGTGACGGACCTGCTCTGATACCATGTCAGAATCAACGGACTGGAATGATTGAACTAACAGAGAAATCAGTACAAATAGCAAACCCTAGAATTGTGTACCCCATATAGGCTAACCCACTGTAGCCTAACAAACCCAACATATATAATGTTTGACATTACATGCCAAGCTACTGCAAGTGCACATGCTAAATCGTGTTTTGTTTCGTTCCCTGCAAGGAAGGCCGCATTGTCATCCTCCTTCCTCTAGCATCCACGAAGCACACCATGGAGTGCAGGGAGTGTGACCCACGCCTGATGCTGCTTCTCTTCTTGTGCGTGCGTGCGAGTGTGTGTGTTTGCTTCCCGTCTGCGGCCCCCAACACGTGCATGTGCTGATCGGCATCTTTGCCAACTGCGGGTCGGCCTTTGGTAGCGGCAGAGCAGGGTGTGCGACCCTCATGTGTGCGACCCTCATGTGTGCGACCCTCATGTGTGCGACCCTCATGTGTGCGACCCTCATTCATCGTATGCTGCATGCTCTTGCTTCCGCCCTGCCTCTGGCTACCCCCCAACAGGAGCATGTGCTGATCGGCATCTTTGCCAACTGCGGGTCAGCCTTTGGCAACGGCAACGCGTATGCCATCGACATCGTGACCATCATGAAGCAATTTTACAACGTTGTGAGTGCCCTCGCTAGTGATGGATGATGGCTCATGGGTCAGCCTTCGGCTCAAGGTGTGATTGTGCCTTTGGCAACGGCAACGCGTATGCCATAGACACCGTCACCATCATGAAGCAGTTCTACAATGTTGTGAGTTCCTCCTGCCCTCCTGCCCCCACGCCCTCCTCGCCCCCATTGCTCCTCGCCCCCATTGCCCCCTCGCCCCCATTGCCCCATTGCCCCATTGCCCCATTGCCCCATTGCCCCATTGCCCCATGCCTCCATTGCAACCCGTATGTCTCTGTGCTTCCACCTCGCTTCTCTGCACCCTTCTGTGTGCAGTGCATGCACTCCTCACGTTCCCGATTCACGTTCCTCATCCCCCTTCATCCGCCCGCGTGCTCGCTTATTCTCTACCCACCCTCCCCTCCCGCCCTCCCGTCCTCTCTCTCCCCTCCACCCCCCTCCCCTTCGCCCTACCAGCATTTGGCCTTCTTCCCGGCCTTTCTGCTCGTCACCACAACGCAAGTGCTCGGATACGGGTGGGCCGGCATGTTCAGACGCTACCTCGTGGTGAGAAGGGTGGCCTGGGTTACTGTTGGGTGGGCTGGGATACGGATGGGTGGGCTGGGATACGGATGGGTAGGCTGGGATATGGATTGGTGGGCTGGGATATGGATTGGTGGGCTGGGATACGGATGGGTGGGCTGGGTTACGCATAGGCGGCATGTTCAGACGCTACCTCATGGTGAGCCATGCTGTGTGGCACACAGGTGCCTGCTGAGAATCTGCATTTCCAGGCGTCTAGAAAACACAATGTCAAGTGCACATGTTGCAGTGCAGAGTGCAACACAATGTCCTCCCTTTTCGCCGTCACACACGCCCTCAGCCACCCCTATGCCCTCCCAGCCCAACCCAGCCATCCCATGATCATGCCCATCCATTCCCTCAGGAACCACCTCATCTATTTCTCCCCACCCTTCGGCCGTCATTCCCTCTCTTTTCAGTCTTCACCCTTAGCTGCCTTTGTCCCTTCCCCACCTCGCCCCTTCACACCGTCTCCCACTGCGCCCTTCAGGAGCTGGCAAATATGTGGTGGTCCACTGATCTCATCTTATGTCTCTCGTTACTGATGCGACCCATCTCCCCCCTCCTCCTCCCCCCCACAACCCCCCGTTTCCCACCCTCTGCCCCTCCTCTCCCATCACTGACTCCCTTGCCCCGCCGTTGCCATCCATCAGGAGCCGGCGCACATGTAATGGCCTACTGACCTCGTCTGTGTCTCTCATTGCCGATGCATTCCCTCCTTCCTCCCTCGCCCCGACCCTCCCCGACCCTCCCCACCCCCGTGTGCTTCCCACCGTTCGCATCCCCTCCTCCCCTTCCATCGCACCCGCCTGCCGCCCATCCATCAGGAGCCGGCGCACATGTGGTGGCCCACAGATCTCATTCAATGTCTCTCCTCACCGAACCCTCCTCCCCACTCCTCCCCCTTCCCCCCTCTCCCTGCTTCCCACCCTCCCTTGCCCGTCCTGTCCCCAAACCGTCCCCCACTTCCGTCCATCAGGAGCCAGCGCACATGAGGTGACCCACAGACCTAGTCTATGTCTCCGTCTACTGATGCATCCCCTCTCTCCCCTTCCATCACCTCCATCCCTCCCCTCCACCCCCCTCCTCCATCGCCCCCCATCGCCCCCCATCGCCCCCACTGCCCCGCATCAGGATCCGGCACACATGTGGATGTGGTGGCCCACAGACCTCGTCTATGTCTCCCTTACTTATGCGTCCCCTCCCCCCCACTTGGCTTCCCACTCGTCCCTGCCCCTTCTCTCCCCCCATCGTCCCTCATTACCCTCGCATCAGGAGCCGGCGCACATGTGGTGGCCCACAGACCTCGTCTATGTCTCCCTCTACCGGTAAGCCTCTTTTCCACGAGACCCTAAGCCCTCTCCCTCTCCCAAACCCGAATATACCCGTTTAGTGTATATACACGTATCGTATATACGCTATCGTGTATACGCTATACGCTCAGGGGCCAGTTTGCTCAACATCGGAAAGGTATTCCCTATTCTAACTAAGATTTTCGTAGCATTTTCCTAAATCTGAACGGCGATTGGGGTGGGATGTGTAGTAAACATCTTCGCTAGGAGTAGGAATCGGAATGACTTCTGTTGGAAGCAGGAAAGGAACCTAGAAATGACGAGTGAAGTTGTGCTGGCTGGTAAGTAGCGTGAGTGGGGTTTGTTGGGGGGACAATTTACAGGTTGGAGTTCGTAGATGGGAAGGGTTTCAATGCGGTACTAATTGAAATTGTATATCTGAACTGCCAGACGTGACTGAAAACTTTGAAGGCAGATTCCCGCTTCCCTAGACCACCGAAATGCATCACGACTTCGGCGAAATGCTCACCAGGAGATTCCGCATCTTTCCGTATGCACAATTTTTTTCTCGGGCAGCCCAAAAAAAAACTGACTGCGTATAGCGTATGAGTAGGCGTATAGCGTTTTGAGTATAAACGCAAGCGTGTGAATGCTAGACGCTTTAGGGTCTGACCCAAACCCCCCTGCGCCCTCCGTCCTTCGATGGATCCATCGCAAGCAAGCAAGCAAGGTTCTCCCCCCCCCCCCCCCCCAACACCTCTCCTGCCCCCTTCCCCCGCCCTCCTCCCCCCTCAACCCACCCTCCTGCCTCGTCCCCCCCTCCTCCTGCCCCACCCCTTTTCCCCCCAGCTTCGTGGGTAGCATCGCACTAAGTCCAGCAATTCACCGTCAAACAGTCACGTGCCTCTCCATCCCCATACCCACTGCCTCGTCATGCCCACTGCCTCGCCATGCCCACTGCCTCGTCATCCCGCCATCTCCGTGTTCCTCAACCCTCCTTAGGTTCTCTGAACTCCAACGCTCTCCTCTAATCCCCTATACTCCCTCCCCCCCCCCTCCCTGCCTCTCCCTCCCCCCATCCCTGCCTCCCTTCCCCTCCCTGCATCAAACGCCCCAATACATGGCATGCCGCTCTAAAGCAGGCACACTCCTTCCTCATCCCCTCCCACCCAACCCAACCCAACCCCACTCCATCCCACCCCACCCCACCCCACACACCCCCCTCCGCCACTCTTTCCCTCCTCCCCGCCCACCAGCACCCTCCACGAGTCAGACACACCAGCCCGTGGCATGCTAACCCGCGCCCACTTCTTCTTCCTCATAACAGCACTCTCCTTCTGCTGGTACCTCGTGCCCGCCTACCTCATCCCCATCACCTCCTACCCCACTCTTGGGCTCTACTCAACTCCACAGCCCACGCCCCTCCTCTTTGGGCCCCTTCCACTCCCTTCCCCCTTATTGCCCCCTATTCTGCCCCCTTCCATCCCCGCTTCCCCCCCTTCCCTCCCATGCAGAACCCTGCATGAATCCGACACCCCGGCACGAGGCATGCTAACCCGAGCCCATTTCTTCTTCCTCATAACGGCGCTCTCCTTCTGTTGGTACCTCGTGCCCGGCTACCGCATCCCCTACTCCACCATCCACACCCCTCCTCTTCACCCTTCTTCTCCCCCCCTTCCGCCCCCTTTTCCCCTTATTACCCCATTCCCCCCCTCTCCCCCCCTATTTCCCCCACTCCCCCCACCCCCCCTTCCCCCCCTTTTCCCCCACTTCTCCCCCTCCCACCCGCCAGAACCCTCCATGAATCCGACACACCAGCGCGAGGCATGCTAACCCGAGCCCATTTCTTCTTCCTCATAACGGCGCTCTCCTTCTGTTGGTACCTTGTGCCTGGCTACCTCATCCCCATCGTCTCCTGCCTCTCCTGGGTCTGCTGGGTCTGGCCCTCCTCCATCACCGCGCAGCAGCTTGGTTCAGGTATGTATGTGCGAAGTCTCCTTACCCACTACACACCTCCCCCATCCCTCTCCCTCCCGCTTCCCCTCTTCCCTCAACTCCCCCTGTTACCTCATCCCCATCGTCCCCTGTCTCTGCTGCCTCTCCTGGGTCTCCTGCCTCTCCTGGGTCTGCTGGGTCTGGCCCTCCTCCATCACCGCACAACACCTCGGCTCAGGTGGGTGTTTAGTCTCGTCTTCCCCCCACACACACCTCCCCCATCCCTCTCCCTCCCTTCCCCGTTTCCCCCCACTCCCCTTTTCCCTCTACCTCATCCCCATCGTCTCCTGCCTCTCCTGGCTCTGGCCCTCCTCCATCACCGCGCAGCAGCTCGGCTCAGGTGCGTGTTTAGCCTTCTTATTGCCCTTCCTTCCCCCTCCCACCCACTCTCCTGCCCACGCCTCCCTCCTCCCCCCTCCTTCTCCCTCCCCTCTCCTGGGTCTCTCAAATCCGCTGCCTCTCCTCTCCTGGGTCTCTCGAATCCGCTGCCTCTCCTCTCCTGGGTCTGCTGGGTCTGGCCCGCCTCCATCACCGCACAGCAGCTCGGCTCAGGTCCGTGCTCAGTATCTCCCTTCTGCCTCCTTGTTCCAACAAGCCCACTCCGCTTCTCCCTCGCACTCCTCTTCTCCCTCCCACTCCTCTTCTCCCTCTCCCTCACACCAACTGCTTCTGCTTCTGCTTCTGCTTCAGTATCACTCTCGACTAGGCCACCATGCCAGGCTTCCTCCCTCATGCCCTCCCACTTCCCTAAAAAGAATTGCCCTCCCACACCCCCGTTCTCCCCCGGGTCTTGCCAGGTCTGAGGGGCATGGGCCTGGGTGCAATCACCCTCGAGGTGACTTTTGAGTCGACTCAAATGTCCAGTCCAGTCCCTTCCTCCCACTCCCCCCCTCTCCTCCCTCCGCCCGCCCCCTCAGGTCTAAGGGGCATGGGTCTAGGCGCTCACTCTTGACTGGGCCACCACGTGGTCCTTCCTCTCCTCGCCCCTCGCCTCTCCCAACGTCACTCCCCACCCGCCCTCACTCTTCCCTCCCCCTTCCTCCAAACCAGGTCTGAGGGGCATGGGTCTGGGAGCAATCACCCTCGACTGGGCAACCATGTCGGCCTTCCTCTCCTCGCCCCTCGCCGCGCCCTGGTTTGCCATCCTAAACGTGGGAATCGGCTTCGCTGTGTTCCTCTACATCCTCATCCCCATCTGCTACTGGGGCAACGTCTTCGCTCCCAACACTCGGAGTTTCCCCCTCCTCCCAACCCTCTCCTCCTAACCCCATCATCTCAAACCTTTCTTCCTCCCACCGCCCCCCTCATTCCTCCAGGCCTGAGGGGCATGGGTCTGGGAGCAATCACCCTCGACTGGGCAACCATGTCGGCCTTCCTCTCCTCGCCCCTCGCCGCGCCCTGGTTTGCCATCCTAAACGTGGGAATCGGCTTCGCTGTGTTCCTCTACATCCTCATCCCCATCTGCTACTGGGGCAACGTCTTCGCTCCCAACACTCGGAGTTTCCCCCTCCTCCCAACCCTCTCCTCCTAACCCCATCATCTCAAACCTTTCTTCCTCCCACCGCCCCCCTCATTCCTCCAGGCCTGAGGGGCATGGGTCTGGGAGCAATCACCCTCGACTGGGCAACCATGTCGGCCTTCCTCTCCTCGCCCCTCGCCGCGCCCTGGTTTGCCATCCTAAACGTGGGAATCGGCTTCGCTGTGTTCCTCTACATCCTCATCCCCATCTGCTACTGGGGCAACGTCTTCGCTCCCAACACTCGGAGTTTCCCCCTCCTCCCAACCCTCTCCTCCTAACCCCATCATCTCAAACCTTTCTTCCTCCCACCGCCCCCCTCATTCCTCCAGGCCTGAGGGGCATGGGTCTGGGAGCAATCACCCTCGACTGGGCAACCATGTCGGCCTTCCTCTCCTCGCCCCTCGCCGCGCCCTGGTTTGCCATCCTAAACGTGGGAATCGGCTTCGCTGTGTTCCTCTACATCCTCATCCCCATCTGCTACTGGGGCAACGTCTTCGCTCCCAACACTCGGAGTTTCCCCCTCCTCCCAACCCTCTCCTCCTAACCCCATCATCTCAAACCTTTCTTCCTCCCACCGCCCCCCTCATTCCTCCAGGCCTGAGGGGCATGGGTCTGGGAGCAATCACCCTCGACTGGGCAACCATGTCGGCCTTCCTCTCCTCGCCCCTCGCCGCGCCCTGGTTTGCCATCCTAAACGTGGGAATCGGCTTCGCTGTGTTCCTCTACATCCTCATCCCCATCTGCTACTGGGGCAACGTCTTCGCTCCCAACACTCGGAGTTTCCCCCTCCTCCCAACCCTCTCCTCCTAACCCCATCATCTCAAACCTTTCTTCCTCCCACCGCCCCCCTCATTCCTCCAGGCCTGAGGGGCATGGGTCTGGGAGCAATCACCCTCGACTGGGCAACCATGTCGGCCTTCCTCTCCTCGCCCCTCGCCGCGCCCTGGTTTGCCATCCTAAACGTGGGAATCGGCTTCGCTGTGTTCCTCTACATCCTCATCCCCATCTGCTACTGGGGCAACGTCTTCGCTCCCAACACTCGGAGTTTCCCCCTCCTCCCAACCCTCTCCTCCTAACCCCATCATCTCAAACCTTTCTTCCTCCCACCGCCCCCCTCATTCCTCCAGGCCTGAGGGGCATGGGTCTGGGAGCAATCACCCTCGACTGGGCAACCATGTCGGCCTTCCTCTCCTCGCCCCTCGCCGCGCCCTGGTTTGCCATCCTAAACGTGGGAATCGGCTTCGCTGTGTTCCTCTACATCCTCATCCCCATCTGCTACTGGGGCAACGTCTTCGCTCCCAACACTCGGAGTTTCCCCCTCCTCCCAACCCTCTCCTCCTAACCCCATCATCTCAAACCTTTCTTCCTCCCACCGCCCCCCTCATTCCTCCAGGCCTGAGGGGCATGGGTCTGGGAGCAATCACCCTCGACTGGGCAACCATGTCGGCCTTCCTCTCCTCGCCCCTCGCCGCGCCCTGGTTTGCCATCCTAAACGTGGGAATCGGCTTCGCTGTGTTCCTCTACATCCTCATCCCCATCTGCTACTGGGGCAACGTCTTCGCTCCCAACACTCGGAGTTTCCCCCTCCTCCCAACCCTCTCCTCCTAACCCCATCATCTCAAACCTTTCTTCCTCCCACCGCCCCCCTCATTCCTCCAGGCCTGAGGGGCATGGGTCTGGGAGCAATCACCCTCGACTGGGCAACCATGTCGGCCTTCCTCTCCTCGCCCCTCGCCGCGCCCTGGTTTGCCATCCTAAACGTGGGAATCGGCTTCGCTGTGTTCCTCTACATCCTCATCCCCATCTGCTACTGGGGCAACGTCTTCGCTCCCAACACTCGGAGTTTCCCCCTCCTCCCAACCCTCTCCTCCTAACCCCATCATCTCAAACCTTTCTTCCTCCCACCGCCCCCCTCATTCCTCCAGGCCTGAGGGGCATGGGTCTGGGAGCAATCACCCTCGACTGGGCAACCATGTCGGCCTTCCTCTCCTCGCCCCTCGCCGCGCCCTGGTTTGCCATCCTAAACGTGGGAATCGGCTTCGCTGTGTTCCTCTACATCCTCATCCCCATCTGCTACTGGGGCAACGTCTTCGCTCCCAACACTCGGAGTTTCCCCCTCCTCCCAACCCTCTCCTCCTAACCCCATCATCTCAAACCTTTCTTCCTCCCACCGCCCCCCTCATTCCTCCAGGCCTGAGGGGCATGGGTCTGGGAGCAATCACCCTCGACTGGGCAACCATGTCGGCCTTCCTCTCCTCGCCCCTCGCCGCGCCCTGGTTTGCCATCCTAAACGTGGGAATCGGCTTCGCTGTGTTCCTCTACATCCTCATCCCCATCTGCTACTGGGGCAACGTCTTCGCTCCCAACACTCGGAGTTTCCCCCTCCTCCCAACCCTCTCCTCCTAACCCCATCATCTCAAACCTTTCTTCCTCCCACCGCCCCCCTCATTCCTCCAGGCCTGAGGGGCATGGGTCTGGGAGCAATCACCCTCGACTGGGCAACCATGTCGGCCTTCCTCTCCTCGCCCCTCGCCGCGCCCTGGTTTGCCATCCTAAACGTGGGAATCGGCTTCGCTGTGTTCCTCTACATCCTCATCCCCATCTGCTACTGGGGCAACGTCTTCGCTCCCAACACTCGGAGTTTCCCCCTCCTCCCAACCCTCTCCTCCTAACCCCATCATCTCAAACCTTTCTTCCTCCCACCGCCCCCCTCATTCCTCCAGGCCTGAGGGGCATGGGTCTGGGAGCAATCACCCTCGACTGGGCAACCATGTCGGCCTTCCTCTCCTCGCCCCTCGCCGCGCCCTGGTTT